GCCCCGTAGGGTCTGTCTGCTATCTTCCTGGTTTAAGGATTTCACTCAACCCCGGCCACCCCAGTTCTGCTACTCGAGGCGTTATTTCCCACTTATCAGGATTGTACGAATGCTTCATTTCCATAGTATCGGCCGCAAAATCCCATCCAATTGAAAGGTAGGTCAACATAACCATCGTTTTTCCTCTGTTTCTCTTGCTTTCCTTTCATAATCTCTGTCGTTCTGTCTGTTCATTACCATCCGTATGTTGGGTTGTATTGCTTCTTCTGGATATCTGTTTCCAAGAGACAGCTGAATTAGTTGTTCCAGTTCCTCTTCTCAGAAGTGAGAATCAGAAAAGTCGTAGGATTCTTATGACCTATTAATTAAATAAGTATGTTTAGACTGTAAGTTAGAAGTTACTCAAAAAATGACTTTTCTGAAAGAAATCGCATACTGGTGTAACTTCTAACCTACAGTCTAAACATACTTATTGAATTAACATAGGAATACTCCAGATGTTTCCTCGGAGTAAATGACCTACACATCCAAGTGTCCGTTCTTTTCCACATCCATATTAAAGTTGGCCCTTTCATTCATTTCGTTTATGAATATCAGAAACTCGTCTAATTTTTCTTTTCTATTCGACCAGATTGCGAAGTAGTCATCCAAATATTGTATAATTACATAGAGTTTGTTTGACCTTGTTTTCGCAACATGGTCATATTGGTAGGAACCAAATCAATTTTGGTTCAATGCTGAACCACAACATTTGTGGGTTGGCACACAAGAGACTAGGGCATGGCTAATCATAGACTTCGTATTAGGGATAGAAACAGGATAGAGACGGCGGGAACCGGAGCTAGTTGGCTGACGGTAGATATGTTGTACCAGAGGCATGGTACATGCAGCAAAGGGGTGACTATGACACTCAGAGGGTTGCGCCTCGAATTAGTCGGTGAGGGTGAATAACGCCTCGAGTAGGACAGATGTGGTGGCATGAGTCGAGTAAAATAGGTGAACAACGGTTAGAGCAGAAGGATTTTAGGGAGCAAGAGGGAGACTGAGATAAGACTAGGAAAGAGGACTGCATAATAATAAAGCAGACTCTGATCAACATTATCTGCACAAGGATGAAAGGGGTGTGTGAGAACGAGAGTTGGAGTGTGAAGGTG